TAATGACATGCGACTTAGAACATATTTTAGTGACTTAACATTGTTTACCTGTAGTAAATTAGGAAAATTTTGATGTCACCCAATGTCTTGAAAACCGTGTTTCAAGACAAATTTTTTTCAGAATTATTGGGTAATAGACAATAAATGATGTCAAAAAATCGGGATTAAAAGAAGATTTATCAAATATTCTTGATTATGAAATGCAAAAAAATATATAACATTTTTGAGACGAATGATGAGTGATGCTGAAGTATTTTATTCATTCCCCGCCTCACACTGAAAGTTCTGGTTTTTATGACGATGAGGTGCATTCAATTTATCTTATACCAAAGTTTTATATTCATCTTTTATATTATCTTAGTGACTGAGGTATATTTTCATAACATTTTCAATAATTATTTCTATTGGAATTCCACTAAGAACAGGTGCAGAATGCCGGCCCACTGAAAATTTCGGAGGGATTTTATATTAAGTACGTCCTTCTGGAGAAAAATTTGCGGGTTATAATATACTAAGTGATTTTAGTACAATTCACCTTTGAGCTTGGTGAGTGACTTGATACAGGTTACAACTGGGTATTTCGGTTGTCTTAAAAGCTAGGTGTGTTAAATTTTTTTTAGAGGTCAAGTAAGTTATTAGAAGTAGTATTCAGCTAAAAACCCATTTTCGAAAAAAAAGTGACTTAATACAGTTTACCTCTGAGGTACAGATATGTCTTTCAAAGTAATGAAAGATATACCTGGCACAGTCGAAAAGGAAGGAATTAGAAAATTTAGCACTCTCACGAAGAAATGATAGTCTCACTTAGTACGAAATATGTTGTCTCACTTAGTAATTTTTTGTTTCGTAAATTGGAAAGCCACTATAAAAATCGCATTCATGTTAAAAATGGGCTCTATCGCTATGTGGAAAGTGAGTTTAGTAACCAAAAGGTATAAACATTACATAATGTTACTAATATTCTACAAAATTAATTGATTACAGTTTATCTGAAAACAAAAGAAAGTATAACTGGCTCAACCTAAATTCAGTTTTCACCTCAAAAATCCGTCAAATTTAAACAAAACCACGTAAAATTTCACAGAGAATTGTGCCTTGGTTATGTTAATCACCCCCTTACGCCAGACAAAACTTGGAGGGAAATTTAAAAAAATATTCCAGTTGTCTCACTTAGTACACCGTCTCACCTAGTACCACCCTCCCCTATATGCATATTAAAACTGTCATATTTTGCTTCGAAGTCTTCGATTTCCTCACACCGTTCCGTTTAGCCAATTTTCTTTAGCTACCCTGACTTTTTTCTTTATTTCACGAATCCACTGACGATATTCTGGATGGGCCTTGCTGCAGGCGTCTTTCTTCCATCAAGTCAACGATTTTATCAGTCATATCTAAGCTTTTTTCCTGACCCTATATAGTTAAATTACAATATTGTACCAGTAGATAATTAAAAAAAAACTTTGACCTAATTTTTCAGTATCACCCTGTATTGCTACAAGGTCGGTGCAATGAAAGAAAATGTTTATTTCGACTTCTTTAATAATATACTAAAGCTTTAACAGAATCTGTCGGTGACCGAAATCCATTAGAGTGTGAGATGTTCATTTATTTGAATTACATACAAATTTATGTCACCCTAGCTGGAATAACAAGAATATGTAGATACCATTTTGTCAAAGTTAAAAATTTACCCTACTCTTTGGAAGAAGTAAAAAGAATGACGTTGAGTTGTCATGTATATGCAGAAGAAAAACCTAGATTTTGTAAGAATTTTGGAGCTCATTTAATAATAATAGCAACATGACCTTTTGACTTTTGAGAGGCTCAATATTGATTTTGAAGGACCGCACCAAGCTTAGAAAAAGGGTTTTTTAATAATTGTTCTCTGTATTTTTATTCATTTTTTTTTTTTGTCTTAATTTTTCCGTTTCAATTTTTGTTTATTCCTGGCTCTTGAATTTTCATTTTCTTCTAAATTTCTCCAATTAGAGAAAATTGAAGAGCTTGGAATAGAAACGAAATATTTTGTGTACCAATTTTTTTATATCTCAATTTTTGTTTATTCCCAGCACTTGAATCTGTCAAAAAAGAAAATTCAAGAGCCAGGAATAGAAAAGAAAGAAGGAAGATTGCATATCAGAAGAGGCAAAGAAACTCATGGAAAGAATAAGGCGGAAACTGAACGAAGAAGGGAAAAGGAAATCGATAGAATACACAGAAATCAATAAGACCATCAGGAAAATGATAAAAGAAAACAAAAGAAAGAATCAAGAAATAGGAATAGAAAGAGTCATAGAGAATAACAGGAATATGAAATGCCTAAGACCGACACTGAAAAGATACAAAATAAATAAAATAAAAGACAAGAACGGCGTAGAAACTATAATATTAAGGAGAATATCATAAGTATCACACAACTCTTTTATACAGATAACTATCAAACAAAAAAAGGATCAACCGCACTGGGAAGAAACCGTAAAACAACTACAAACTAAAATAAAGAATGTAAACTCAGAACTACAACCCGAAATAAGCAAATCGGAAATAAAGAGGGCTCTGAAAAAAATGAAAAACAGCAAAGCACCTGGAAAAGACGGACTCACTGCAGAAATGCTAAAATACGGTGGAAAAATGGTTATCAATACTCTCCATACCCTCCTAAATAAAATACTGAAAGAAAAGAAAATCCCAAACAACTGGAATGAATCCATAACCATCATCATCCTTCCCTTCATAAGAAAGTTGATAGAACAGAATTGAAAAACTATCGACCTATACTATAACACTCCTTAATGTAATTTATAAGCTCTTCACAAAAATCCTCACCACCAGGCTAACAATTAAATTCGATGGTACACCAATCGAAAGAGCAGGCCGGCTTCAGAAAGGGTTTCAGTAGTACAAGTGACCACCTATTAACCATGAAAATCCTAATAGAACGAGCCAACGAATATCACATCCCACCCACTATATATTGCATTTATCGACTACAGATACGCAGACCTAATAACCAACATATATAGCAAAGCAACAACAACTGTTAAAATCCATGGGGGAACAAAACCAATATTTACCCATAGGAAGAGGTGTCAGACAGGGCGACACAATAGTCAATAACACCCAAACTTTTCAACCAGGCCCTGGAAGATATTTTTAAAAAACTAGACTATGAAGAAAAAGGTATAAAAATATGCGGACAACACTTGAGCAAGCAAGCTACGCAAATGATATCGCTCTAATAACTGATAAGAAAGAAGAACTGACGGAAATGCTGACAGAACTTGACCCAGCAGCTAGAAACATAGGTCTCAATATGAACTACGCTAAAACAATAACAAACACAGACGATGACATCACAATCAGAATAGGACAGGAAAAAATAGAACAAGTCGACGAATATACAGGGTGTTTAAAAAAGACACGGCAATATTTGAGGGGGTGATTCCTCAGGTCATTTTATGGAAAAAAGTTCCCATAAACATAGGTCCGGAAATGCATTTTTTGCAAGATACAGGGTGGTAAAGATTAGACCTAAGAGCTCAAATCATTGGTGGGTGTAACTCAATTAGAAATGACCCTGGTATTTTTGAGAGAGTTCGCCAGTCAATGAGGAAAGATTGAATTCCTGCATCCACGCCGGGGGTGGTCACTTTGAACAGTTTTTGTATCATAATGGACAAGCAAGAAAATAGTTTTCATTTTTTATTTTGTAAACGAAGCAAGATACGAGAAAAAATTAAGAGACAAAAAAGTTTCAGTTTTAGTTGATTCATCTGAAAGAAAAATCGAAATTAAATTAAAGTCAGTGGCGTACATTTTTTCGTCAATAAATTTTATTAAATTGCCCCCCCTAACGCCACTGGAGTTAAAAAAAATTATCTAGTTAGGGCAAAACTAGCCCCTAATTACTAAAAACAACGCTGCCAATTTTCAAAAAAATCGGTGAGAAGATATTTGAATTATTTAAAAAAAACCGTTATTTTAAAAAAATCTTTAACACCCTGTATCTTGGAAAAAATGCATTTCCGGACCTATGTTTATGGGAACTTTTTTCCATAAAATGACCTGAGGAATCACCCCCTCAAATATTGCCGCGTCTTTTTTAAACACCCTGTATATATCCAGGACAGATTATTAAACTCAACAAAGAAAACCAAACAGCAGAAATCAAGAGTCGAGTTAGATTAGCTTGGGCAGCATTCGGCAAATTAAGCTACATCTTGAAAAATAGAAAATATCCACAATACCTCAAAACCAAAGTGTATAATGTATAATCAATGTATGATTCCTGTCCTCACCTATAGATCTCAAACATGGACACTTACAAAGTCAATCATGGTCCATGGAAAAACAAAAGCATAAAGATAAATGGAAAGAAAAATGTTACATGTGAAACTGATAGATAAAAAGAGGAACGAGTGGATAAGAAATAAAACGAGAGTAAGAGACGTTAGAAAGGAGGTAGCAAAATTAAAATGGAAATTTGCAGGCACAATATCAGACAAAAAGACAACCGATGGAATAAATGTATTTTAAGCTAGAGACCTTGGGAGAATAAAGGAAGACCTCCGATGAGATATACTGATGACCTGAAGAACGCTGGAACCAGGTGGATGAGCATGGCAACAGACATAAAGGAATGGAGAAGACTGGGGGAAGCCTACGTCCAAAGATGGACTGAAGAAGGCTGAATAGATAGATAAGAATAGAAAAAACATGATTCAATTAAGACAAAATACCTAATTGTTAGATTCAAAAAGTTGATTTTTTAAAAAGCTTATCCTCTTCAGTTTTTGTTCCCTTCAAAATTTCTACAATACCATGAAGAAGATTCAAGAGCCTGGAATCGAGAAAATAATTTTTCCTAAATATCACAAGTCTAGTTACTGTGTTATTCTTTCTTAAATGCATTTCCTTATTCTCCTGTAAATTTCTCTAATTGAAATTAGGAAAATGCAAGACACTGAAACTAAAAAAAATCCCAAATAAAAAGGCAGGATTTACAATTTTATGAAAAAACTTTTATTACATACTAACTGGAACTTATATTAAATTAATACAAAAAAAAATATAAGTGGACCTACTAAAATTCATGTTTTTTTTTTTAATTAGGAAAACCATGTTATAGAGCCTCACTCACAGAATGAAAAATGGGAACAAATTATTGATAAATGGAAAACAAAAATTACAGATTCCAATTTCCTTAACACCTAGATTTAAAATTTAGCCGACTTTGATTAAATAGTAGAAATAATTAAATGCTGCCCCTAGTGCAATCTGTAACCTCCGGTTTGTTGTTGGTAGACCTCTATGGTGTCCCCTTCTTCCATATCCAAGGTAGTTGGGGTGTCCGTCTCGTTGATGGGGTTACCATCGAAACGGAAACGAACAACTTGAGTACTAATTCCCTAAATAAAATAAAGCATCATTAGGTTTGTTCCTACATAAATCACAAACCTATCAAGAGCGAATTTTATTGGTTGTTGGCCAATCAAAAAGGTTCGTAACTGGTTTATGATTTCTTGTGTGAATCATTTCTAACAATTTTGATAAAAGATACAAGAATCAAGGTTTTTAGGAAAAAAAGTAAAAAATTGGGGCCCCACTTACGGCTCGTTCACAATAGGCAGTCATCAATTTCCTGAGTGGCGTGTGCCTTTTGATTTTGAACTGTACGACAGCATTGTCCTGGCCCAGGACTTTCAAGTTAATGTGCTCGGCTTCGTTTGCCTGGCGAAAAAAATGCACATTGATTAAAAAATGTCCGGCGAGAGAAATATCGTGAAAAACTTACCTTCTTGTCGTCACTCATTGTCGGTACTTGAAGTTTTTAAGCAAACGCGTTTTCTAGACTCACAATTTCCTTGTTTTATTCGATAATAAATGGAATGGCCGGCTTCAAGTTTAATGGCGTTGGCTTCTGGAGCGAGTTGACAAGGAAAAGTAGCGGTACAAATGGCGACAGGAAACGACGCTAGCGCCACTGCGCGGGAATAACGACTGGAAAGGGAAAGTATAACATCTGCTTCCGGTTCACTCCCAATTGACCGAATGGAGCAAAGCATTTTAGCAAATTTAATTAATCATTTCCATAAGAATTGATGAAATTATCTAAGTTAAATGGATTCATCCAGGAATTCAACTTGGACACATATAAAAGCACTTATTTCACAGGAAACTGTAATTTTGACACTTTTTACTCCGGGTCAGACAACCTTTATTTGAGGTGAGTTCGGCTTGTTCACTCCGAGTGACTCCATTTCCACTCCGCCCCACCTAAGGTGAATTATGACATTTGTTATCTCCCATATGTTTCATGTTTTGATTTTGCCTCGTCGGTAATTTCTTCATTTTCTCTGAAAATTGAATTTGTATTTTGTATTTGATCATCGATCCAGCTCCCTATTTTAAAAACGTTGTGATGGTCTCAGAGTAAAAAAAAACACCATGAAACTATCACGCATGTCGAGCAAATTTTACCTAGCCGATTGTGAACGCAGGAGTGCGTTTAGAAATGGAGTATGAAGGTAGAGTAGTTGTTTGTCAGAGTGTTATGACGTCATCACTTGGCGTGCACCCCACTTAAACCTTATTCTATGGCGTGCACTATGATGTCTGAGCGTATTGGGGGCATAAGTTGCATTCCTTTCAAGGGTTTGAAACACTCGAGCTACTCGCTCCGGTGTTTAGTAGCCCCCGATTTACAGGGAACAGATGCATGGTGCAACAAACACTTTTCGAAAGGAATAAGCGCGTGAAGCCCCGGAGCTGTTCCGGAGCTCCTCCTAGGAGTGAAAAGAATACAACTATTAAGGCCGTATCAGGCCCCCAATTCTTGAATTATCTCGCATACGAAAATTGATATGATTTCGAATGCTGCCTATTCAATTTACATTGCTGTCATTCGAATTCGAAACAACTTACTAATGCGAGAATATTCAAGAATTGACCCACGTGCCGTTGCCGATTCCTTTAGCCGTTGCCGTTGCCGTCGCGGTTTCAAATCACACTTGACATCGTTCCGTTACCGATTTCTGGTCACTTGAAATGTTTATAACGTCAAAATGTCGCAGCTAAAATATTCAAAGTACAGCGCCGAACGTCGTCGGAAAGTTTCTTCTGCATTGTTGTGCTATATGATTATATTGGAAGAAGAGTAAAGAGAAAGATCCAAACCAAAATCGGTTTGGGTGCAGTACCAGAAGTGATAAATTGCAAAACTAAAAAAGTGACGTTTAGACACATGCTGTTCATAAAGCACTTTCATTGGCTACGGTTCAGAACGGCCTCGTAAAATTTAGACTCCAACCTAAACAGACAACGGCAATCGCAACCAGAAGCAGGTACATTTTGATTGGTCGAATTTCCAATCGTAATCGTCAATAGTAATCGGTACAGTGGCTAAATAAACCTTTACATACAGTGGCAACAATAGAGGTCCCGCCGCCATCTTGTTCCCAACCTCTTGTTACTTTTAAATATTAATATATAGGATTTAAATGGACATCTATCATGAAAAATTGAAATCGACGTATTTGATGACCATTATTAGGTCCATAAAATACGTTGTTTTCCATGATTTATGATGGATGTGCACCTAAATCCCATATATTCATATTTAAAAGTAACAAGGGGTTGGGAACAAGATGGCGGTGTTTTCAATATAAATATATGGGATTTTAGAACCAATCAAAAATGAGACAGCAATTGTCGCCACTGTGGCTTATAGAGTCACTGTAGTAATCGGCAACGGCACGTCTGATACGGCCTTTAGGGCATTGCGGTAAATGTCAATGTCATGGATTTGGATTACGATGCAAGTTCAACACTACAATTTTAAAAATGACAGTGGGAAGTGCCTATCAAGAGAGGTCCTGCTGGAACATCCTTCATCTGAAGAAAGTGCTTCCTTCAGATAGTGAAGAGAAAATGGTTCTATTAGCTTTGTTTTGGCTGCTCTCAGAACTAGTTCGGAATCATTCTGCACATGCGCATGTTCTAAAACGCGTTTTCGTTTTTTTCAGAATCGTCATCGAACTGTGTTGACAGGCATTTTGGTTGATTTAGAACTATATAAGAACAATTCTGGGATTGTTCTAGAACGGTTCTCTCAGTTCTTGCTCTGAAGGAGGAACTGTTTTGGAATTTCGTGATTTTCGGCTTGTTTTGGTTTTTTTAGTTTCGAATCGATTTAGAATAAGTATTAGAACAGTCCTCTATTATTTTTGGTGCGCAAGCAGTTCTACGCAATCCCAGAACCGTTCCAAATTTCGAACCAAAACAGAGCTAAGGGCGGGTATTATAAAACTACTTTGAGAGTTAACTTAAAGTTAACTTCTGGAATTACATGTAATTCAAAAAGTTAACTTCAAGTTAACTGTCAAAGCAGTTTTATAATACCCGCCCTAAATATTGTCATAAATTACTTTGCGTTTGGTATTTTGTTCAAAGAGCAGTGCGTGCTGAGCGGAGCCGTAATTACGTGACCAGCGAGCGAACAGAGCAGTTAAATGCTATATCCGAATGCCCGAAATTTTAATAAACGAACGCAAATGCGCCTGCACCGAGTACACTTTTTGAATTAACGAACGGTAAATTCAAGCTCGGAGAACTCTGACCAAAATACGGAACGCACGGATATTTGACAAAAAATTCGCTGTACAGAAAGGAGAGGGCGAATCCTCACGGGCGTAATTGACGTAAGCGTAACTAATCATGGGATTTAATTTGTGCGATTTTATTGGCGGCAGTGCAATCATCTTGAATTTTTGACATTACGCTGCCGTTACGGCAAAAAGTTGGGTTTTGTTGAACTTTTCGGCGTAATCGAGAGGTGCTTTCCAGTGACCCACTTGGAGTTACTCCTGAGCAGCTCAGGAATGCTCCACATTTACTCCGCGCGTCAGTGCTTAGAGTTTTGTACACTTAAACTACTCATTTCTGTTATCCCCTGCCCCCTCCTGCACCAAATTTCATTTCGGTGTTTCATGCTCCTAAAGCCCGAAATAGTGCTTCTCAATATATGTCTTCTCATAATATGTCGAACAGTTCAAGAGCGTCACACTCCAGGGCTGAGATCACGACAAGTGGATTACTAGAATACCACTTTCATGATCGTCATCATTGCCTGTACTGTACGCGATAAATAGGTCGCAGGTGACGTCATTAAAATAGAATTCTAGTAGTTCACTTGTCGTGATCTCAGCCCCGGAGCATAATACTCTAATTTAGGCACTGGAAAGTTGCTGAGGCAAAATTCCAAAGTTGTGACATTTATTTTTGTTTTTTCTGATATATGATAGAATATTCACAGAAAACCAAAGAAAAAGGATTACAACAACAAATTAGTAAATTTTAATTACAATCTGGCAAAAAATAAACAAGACATTTGGAGAATAGTTGTATTCCTTTCACACCTAGGAGGAGCTCCGGAACAGCTCCGGGGCTTCACGCGCTTATTCCTTTCGTAGTGTTTGTTGCACCACGCATATGTTCCCTGCAAATCGGGGGCGACTAAACACCGAAGCGAGTAGCTCGAGTGTTTCAATCTCTTGAAAGGAATACAACTAATATGTTTTTGTTTTGGTTTTGATGCACTACATGCGGGATGTTACGCCAAAAATGGCGTAGAATTGACGTTCATGCCGATTGCGCTTATTACGCCCGTGAGGATTCGCCCTGTCCCAAAGGATCCAAAATAGCCTAAAATAACAAGACCTGTCAATCGATTATCCCACTACTAATGCTCACGAGTATACATTAAGTGCTTTCTTTTCAGAGTTTTGAAATCCCGGGCTTCGACGCCCTAGGGCGCGTCAGCGCACGCTCTGAAAAGAATGGTAATTAAGGGACATATAATTATCTGACAGTTCGGACACTGGAACTGTGGAGCTTCGACGCCTCGCTGAGGCGCTAGCGGTGGGGATAGACGACCCCGGGGCTTGACGCCCCGATTGAAAAGAACGGTTGACACATTTCCAAATCGTGATCCAGGCCGCCCTGGGGCGCCCAAGCCCCTGAAAAGAAAGCAGCTATTATAGGTCTGTTTTTATCATTGAGGTTTTTATCCTCTACTAGTGCACAATAATTTACACTATTCTGTACTGAGGCGTTTGTTATACAGTTAGTGCAAATAGTGTAGGGCGTTTGTAATTTCAGTGTAGGGTGCCCAATCTTGCACTACCTACACCTGCTCAAGAGAAGGTGTAACAAGTGCAGAATGGGGAAGGGGCAATAGTATTTAAAAACTACTTCAATGAAGCTGTATTCAGGGTTGGAAGATAGGGAATCTCCATATTCCCCTACAATTTCCGACCTTGAAAATTTTATTCTTTTCATTAATATTTTACACATTTTTTTCTCAGTCAGTTTCTACTTTTATCTACTTGAATAATAATTTTTTGAGGTTAGAGAATTATCCGCTCCTATCACTGGCACGAACTGTACTAACACGTTCGGTAGTTTTCCTTTAACCTGGTGCCCATCAGCTACACAAGAGGCGTTTTCTCGCGTCTCAAATGTTTCAAAACATTTTTCAAAACTGGTTTAAGTAATGTCACCATGACGTCATAATTTCTCAGCGCGGAAAAATGGTTTGAAAACGTGGATTGGATCGCGAGAATGTATTGTTTCGAAACAAGTTTTGAACCAGTTTCAAAAAAGCGGACGCAAGAAAACGCCTCTAGCTGCACAAGCAGTCTGCACTGACCTATCCTACATGTAAATAACAAACACACCTAATGTTTCTGTAATTTGTGAACGCCAAAATACCAAAGATGACGTAGGAAGCGTGTTATTGCTCGCCTTGACATGTTTGTAAGAACGGGTATTTGCATCACAGGCTATGATTGATTCTTGGCTATGATTACCCTGGCGGTTATTTAGCAATCCATTCCAGGATTGCCTGATTAACATTCTAGAACTACCCTTGTTAAGATCTCGACCGCTGGCGCAAGCCGCTAACGACACCGTTGATGACGTCGGCA